ATATATATATATATATATATATATATATATATATATATAATCAATGATTCCTAAGTTTTTGTTCCTATCAGTGATGTGCGTAGTGGTGCAACTTACTAATTTGAAGAACACTGGTATTTTTTTAATACTTAAATGTTTATTTATTTATTTGTTTTGAGATAGAAAGAGTGTGTGAGCTACCACGAGCACAAGTTGGGGAGGGACAGAAAAAGAGGGAGAGAGAGAGAATCCCAAGCAGGCTCCATGCCTACCAACAAGGAGATAATGACCTGAGCTGAAATCAAGAGTCAGATGCTCAACTGACTGAGTCACCCAAGAGCCCCCTAAAGTACTTTAAACTTGATAGGCTCATTAGCTATCCAGATATGGATGTAGAGTAAGAAATTGGAAATATGAGTCTCTCCTGAGACAGAATTACTCTTAAATCATCTCAACTAAGTAAGAAATTATGATTATGGGATAACTAGTGTTATCCCATAGTCCTTCTAATTCTCTAGTCACAGACCTAAAAAAATGGCAGAACCTAGATTTATATGTAGGCACTGAGACTCCAGAATCCACACACATAATCATTGTGCTATATGTTTTACCTCTTATTACATCTTCAACATTTGTTATGAACGGTTCTACCCTACAGTTGATTGTTTTAGGTAATAAAAACATTCTTTTATTCTAATAGCCTAATGGATATCACTATCAATTAAATTTAATAATCACTATCAACATGTTAAGATCTGAGCAAAACAATGTTTCTATTGACAGTAACATTTGAAGACATAATGTACTTCATCCTTACTTTCTACTTGAGGTGATGAGTGTGTAATATAGCAAAAAAAAACAAAAAAAAAAACAAAAAAAAACAAAAAAAAAAAAAAACAAAAATTCCCAGTTGTCACAGTTTCATATCAATCTAATTCTGTGGTTTGATCTACTTTCCTCTTAGAACTAGTAGTTTACTCCTTAAAGTTTACTAAAATAACTGACAGCTTGAATTTTTCCAACACTATCAAAAAACATTATTAATTTTTTATTTTTTTAAGTTAGTTTATTTTGAGAGA